CAGGCTGAGGTCAGGCAGAGCTGGCAGCCAGCTGGTCTCAGGAGCTGAACCTGGGGAGCCAACTCTGGGACCAGCTCTGGGACCAGCTCTGGGACCAGCTCTGGGACCAGCTCTGGGAACCAGCTCTGGGACCAGCTCTGGGAACCAGCCCTGGGACCAGCTCTGGGAATCAGCTCTGGGACCAGCTCTGGGAATCAGCTCTGGGAATCAGCTCTGGGACCAGCTCTGGGACCAGCTCTGGGAACCAGCTCTGGGAACCAGCTCTGGGAACCAGCTCTGGGAACCAGCTCTGGGACCAGCTCTGGGAACCAGCCTGGGCTTTGAAGCCTGGAGGCATCACAGGATTAGGAAGCTTTGCTTTGGTCCCAAGCACCAACTCCAGTTTGGGTTTGAGCCTCAGGGTGTTCGCATTCACCTCCACGTTCCAGGCTGGCAGCTGTGCTAAGACCCCACTTCGCTCCATTTGGTGAATTTGGCTTCACAATTTGGGCTGATTTGAGCTGTGCCTGGGATGGTTTCTGCTGGTCCCTCAGCCTGGCTGTGAACCACTGGTGCTTCCTGTTGTGGTTTCCTGCCTCAGCTGAGACGCCTCCTCTCTGCTCTCCCTTCCTGTTCTCATCAGGGCCACTTCAGAGCTCCATGGGGACAACAGGAGGCTCTGGTTGCCATAAATCCAGCTCCTGGCAGGTCTCTGCTGCTGAGGGCTGAGCAGGGCAGGGTGCACAGGACAGAACGGTTCCTCCTGAGCTCTTCCAACACAGAGATCCAGCCAAGCCCTTCCCAGCTCCAGCGATGCCAGGGGATGGCAGGAGGGCCCTGTGCTGCTGGGAGGGATGAACCAGGCTGGTGTGAGCCAGAGCAGGACTGACCACCAGGGCAGGGCTGACCACCAGAGCAGGACTGACCACCAGGGCAGGACTGACCACCAGGGCAGGGCTGACCACATGTCCAGGCACAGCTCTGGCCACTGCCTGGGAGCAGAGGCCACAGCACCGGGCTCAGCTCACGGGGAAGCGACTTCTCCCTCCATGTCCAGAAAAGTCAAATTGGGAAGAATCAAGGCAAACACCCAGAGTGCTGCCCCAAAATCTGGTGTTTCTTTGCTCCTCACATGAGCGATGCGTTTGCAGGAGGTGCAGATGGAGAAGATCTCTCTGATCTTTTTGGGGTCATCGTCTGCACAGGAGAAACCCCAAAGTTCAGGCTCAGGGGAACAAATGAGACCCTTTGGTGATGAGAATTTTTCCATTGATTGCAGCAAACTGGGCTCTGCCAACACCCTCTGGGTGGGATTTTAGATGATTCAAGATAGAGATACAAGCCCTGTACAGAGACAAGCCCTAAAGCTCTTCAGCACCAAGGGCTCTGCAGGGACTTGGTCAATGAAGGGCCCTCTCTGCCAAGGGGATCAGAGCATCAGGAACCAGCCAGAGCCAGGTATTGTAGGGGAAAAATTCCACAGACTGTTTAAAAAACAATTAAAGGAAGGTTTCTTCTTGTTCCTGCTGACTGATGGTTGATGTCTGCCCAGAAGCACTTGGGTTTCTCTCCTTTCGCTGTGCTTGGTGCAGTTGTTTATCAAAATGTTGTTTTAGACATTTCATATCTACCTCGTGTTTTAATCTTAATGCATTTAAGGGTTTGGCCTTCTAGACCTCCATGGCAAAACTCATTTATTCAGAGAGACCAAAGAATTTCCTTTTATTGTGAACAGGGCTGGAGAGAAAACAGTAGGAAGTCAAGGCTGAAAACATCAGGATGGATTTAAGGAGCACATTTTTAATAGTGAAGGTAATCGAGCACCGGAGGAATTCACTGTAGGATTTAGGGCATTCTTTCTTGTTTGGGATCTTCAAATCAGGATCAGGTGGTTTCTTTATTCCTTGGTATCTATAAATCAAGATCCAGCGGATCCTCTGTTGCTTGGGATCTTTAAATCAAGATCAGGTGAATTTTTATTTACACTTCCCAGTTCCAGTAAGGGCAGAATAGAGTGATGTGGTGAAATGACCCCACAGAGATCCAGCAGGAGAACCTCTAGACAGGGCAGTCTGAACCCCAATGAAACCATTTCACAAAACGACGTTTCAGGGACCAATCTTCCCTGCCAGGCTGAGCCCCAGCATCGAGTCAAGGCGGGGAGATGCCGGACGCCGCTGCCCACCTGCCCTTCTACTACGGCAGCATCGCGCGCTCGGAGGCCGAGGAGCACCTGAAGCTGGCGGGGATGGCGGACGGGCTGTTCCTGCTGCGGCAGTGCCTGCGCAGCCTGGGCGGCTACGTGCTGTCCATGGTGTGCGACCTGCAGTTCTACCACTACCCCATCGAGCGCCAGCTCAACGGCACCTACGCCATCCTGGGGGGCAAGGCGCACTGCGGCCCCGAGGAGCTCTGCGAGTTCTACTCCAAGGATGCCGACGGGCTCTGCTGCCCGCTGCGCAAGCCCTGCAACCGCCCCAGCGGGGTGGAGCCCCAGCCTGGCGTCTTTGACAGCATGAGGGACAACATGGTGCGGGAGTACGTGCGGCAGACCTGGAAACTGGAGGTACTGGGCCTTTCCGGGGGTGGGCTGGGAAGCCGTGACCCCTCGGGCACTGCCGTGTCCCGTGTGCAGCCCAGCAGAGTTTCTTTGGAGGGTGCTGGTGCTGTGAGGGGTCTGAGTCCTGCTCTTTCCCAGTTTCTTCTCCACACAGTGGTCTAAATGTCTCCCCAGTTCTTCAGACCCATCCTTGGAACAGATGGAACTCACTTTACAGACCTTTCCCCAAGGAAGAATTCATTTTGCAGGCCTTTCCCCTTCTCTGCAGCCCATGGGATGCTCCCTGACTCCCAGAGCTCTGATCCCAAAAGCCAACAACCCATCCCAAACAACAAACCCAGCCCAGAACTAAACCAGTTTGTCCCAAGACCCAATGACTCAACCCAGAACTAAACAAACTCATCCCAAACCCCAACAAACTCATCCCAAACCCCAACAAACCCATCCCAAACCCCAACAAACTCATCCCAAACCCCAACAAACCCATCCCAAACCCCAACAAACCCATCCCAAACCCCAACAAACCCATCCCAGAACTAAACCAATTCATCCCAAGACTCAATGACTCATCCCTGAACTGAACAAACCCATCCCAAACCCCAACAAACCCAACCCAGAACTAAATAAACCCATCCCAAAACCCAACCATGGAGTTCCAGAGGCACATAAAGACATGACCCCTATGTCCTGGAGGTGTCCCTGGGATTGGCTCTGTTGGTCAGATTGTGGTGCTTTATTAAGCCAAGGTTTTGGGTTCCATCCCCACATGGGCCCATTTACTTAATAACTGGACTTGATGATCCTTGTGGGACCCTTCCAACTCAGAATATTCTGTGTTTACTGGGAATATTTCTCCATATGTGAGGTGCCTGTGCCTCCAAACGTTGTGCTGAATATGAAATTAAACCAGACTTAGACTTCTACTCTGGACTTTTTCACTCTTCAGAGTTAAATTTTTGCCTCTGTGGAGGGTTTGTTTTTGCCAGTGAAGATTTTACCCATGAGACCAAGGCAGGGGGTGCTGGATCAGCTCTGTGTGTTATTTAAATTTAAAAATAGCCACAAACAGGTTCCTGCATCTTATTGCAGACTGGAATATCTACAATATAATTGGTCCCACTCACAGCCACAGGCTTAATTTCCTTCTGCCTGCTGCCACCTTGGCTCCTCAGACACTCCCAGGGTCATCTTGTTGTTTTCTTGGAAGGGGCTGCCCAGGAAGGTTTGGAGTCCTCACCCATGGAGGTGTCCAAGCAAGGCCTGGATGTGGCACTTGGGGACAAGGTGGGGATGGGGCACAGCTTGGAGGTCTTTTCCAACCTAAATAATTCTGGGGTTCTATATTTTCTTTTAAGTCCCCAGAGAAATATGGCTCGGGCGGTCTCCTTACGGAGCCTCTCCACAGAAGCTCTCTAAATGTGGAATATTTACACTAAATGTGTTTGACAGAATGAGGTATTTCATAGGGTGAACGAGGTGTTCTGTAGGGTTTCTGCAGCTGAATGAGGTGTTCTGTGCTAAAATGAGGCATTTTTTAGCAGAATTCTCTCCCAGAACCGGGAATTCTGTAGGGTTTCCACCAGAGCAGATCTGTGGCCACCTGCAGATAACACAAAGGACATCGCCACCTCCTGGCAGAGGGACAGTAACAGCTGAACATCAGAGTGAGCCCGGGAAAAGTAAAAAGGGTCTGTGACAGACCCCCGTGATTTCCAGACTGCACCGAGCTTGCCAAGTCCTGATGTCTGTGGGAGCTGAGCAGCCAGGAGGGCAGGGGCAGCAGGAAGGTTGTGCTCTAAAGAAAATCATGGAGTGATGGAATCTCCTGAGTGGGAAGGGACCCCCAGGGATGATCAGTGCAGCCCCTGGCCCTGCCCAGAGCCCCCAACAAGCCCACCCTGAGCATCCCTGAGAGCGCTGGCCAAACGCTCCTGGAGCTCTGGCAGCCTTGGGGCCGGGCCCATTCCCTGGGGAGCCTGGGCAGTGCCAGCAGCCTTGGGGGGAAGAACCTTGCCCTGAGATCCATCCCAAGCCCTGGCACAGCTCCAGCCCTTCCTGGGCTCCTGTCCCTGTCCCAGAGCAGAGCTCAGCCCCTGCCCCTCTGCCTCCCCTCGGGAGGAGCTGCAGCCCCCAAGGAGCCTCCCCTCAGTCTCCTCTGCTCCAGCTGAACGAGCCAAGTGCCCTCAGCTGCTCCTCAGAGCCTTCCCCAGCTCCGTGTCCCTCCTCTGGGCACTCTCCAACAGCTTTGGATCCTCCTGATCTTGTGGTGCCCCAAGTGCCCCCAGCACTGGAGGTGAGGCTGCCCCAGTGCAGAGCAGAGCGGGACAATTCCTCCCTGGGCCTGGTGCCCCTTTGGGCTGCCAGGACTCACTGGTGACTCAGATCCAACTCGCCACCAACCAGGAACACGAGGATGAATGACACCACACAAGTCCAGCATTAAGATCCTCCACATAAATGTGGTGCCTTTTCTCTTTCCCCACCAAAGTTGAAGGACTTCAGCTGCATTTAAGGGATTAGGTCAGTTGAGATAAACCAGGAATTCTGCTCTGCAGAAGAACAGAATTCAGCCACTGTTGGGTCTCAATTAATTACAAGACATTCCAAGTTTCCTGTGTCATGTGCCCCAGCTGAGCTGTGCTGAAGCCATCAGCAGAGCAGC